ATGATGATGATGATGATGATGATGATGATGATGATGATGATGATGATTAGCTTGTTCGACTGCTTCAGTTCGGACAAACCCACATATTTCACCAGTCACGACGTCGCGGTTCGATTCTCCACGAGCTCGTTCAGCGTCATCGGTTCGATTCTCCGCACGTCCGTCGAACCATCCGTCGAAGCATGGTAAAGGTCCCGCCGCCGCTGTCCACAGGTCCTTCCATCACGTGCCATCAATTGATAACCAAAAAGAACGACTCTCTCTCTCTCTCTCCAAAACAATCATGGAAGTGGCAATAGTAGGACCCTGGAAAGACCAGAAACCCTCCTCCACAAACAGCAGGTGTCCCTTCCACTTCCATGTTGGGAGAGCGAGAGCGAGCGAGAGCGAGAGCGAGCGAGAGAGAGAGAGAGAGAGAGAGAGTCCAAAACAAGATACACTTCTCCCACTTCCATGTAAGTTGGGTCCAGGAAAAGAGGTTCAAGCCAAAACAAGCGGCCCCTCCAACCGTTGAATTCGCTTCACAGGCCCTCGTCGGCTCGGTGCCTGCCGCCCGGCAGCAGCGTGCCAGGGCCAAGTGTCCCAGGGCCAAGGTGCCATGCTTCTCGCCGAAGAGGCGCAAACAAATCTCCTGAGATCCTCGGCGAGATTTACCCAGGGATGACAGGAAGACGAGGATGGGAAGCCAGATGCGGAGGATGAAAGCATGACTCGCATGACCAGATTGTGTAATATACACAACGTGTCAGGATGGAATTTCAATAGGGCCCTGAGGGACCCTGAGGGACCCTGTCATCATGTCCATCCTTTTGGATCTTCGGCCAGCGACGCTCGCAAAGGCCTTTCGCTTCCACCGCCCGGCCCTGCGCCAGCAAGCACTGTGCAGCGTTCTGCAGGATCTGTGATGCCTGACACGACCGAAGTCAAACGCCCAGGTCAGCTGACTGGCTCGGGTGATGAAACAACATCGGCCTCAAGAAGGACCCAGGCGGCGCCAGAAGGTGAGCTATTACCAAATGGGAAGGCATTTTGGAGCATGACCTGAAGAAACAACGGTTTCCAAGCAATTTGATAGCACGTGATGGTCCCAAACCATATTGCAAAGACATAGATGCTGGTCAAATGAACCTCAATGACACACAGGGTTCTGGGGTGGGGGGATACAGTATATAGATGGTCGCTGATATGCTGTCAATCTGTCATCTTCGAGGCCTGATGGGTCGCCACCTTGTCATCCCCGTTGGTGGCCAAGCGATAGGCCTCTTGAAAGGCAGAAGAGGCCTCGCCGAGCCTCCAGTGCACAGTGGAGGAAGGATGAAATTCAAAAGTGGATGAAAAACAAACCCGATGATCTTGAGATATCTAACCACCTGTTCGGGCCTAGTCTTCGTTCATCTGCCCTGTGCTCAAGAAACCTGCATAAACTATAGACCTACTATATAGATCTATATAGACTATTAAAAAGTCCCACTGGTTATGGATGCCATCCAACAACACATGAGCAAAAGCTACAAACTTCACTGAACGAGATCAAACCCTACAAGTCCAGTGATCAAAGGAAGACAGCATGCAAATAGGGATAAACACCTTCCTGAAGACTTTCGGGAAGTCAAAGAAAGTCAGCAAAAATGGATGTGCATGGTGGTGTGTGCACTGCTTTGGGTGCTTTCTAAACAACCAATCTTCTTGGAGGAAGAATTCAGCTGGAATCCTGGTTTCAAGTGCTTCAGAGCATGAACCCCTCCTACCTTCTGGCCTTTATCCCCACAGATTCGCCGTTGCATGCCACAGGAAAAGATTCGTTTGAGAAAAGAACATTAAGCAATTTAGCTCCAGTTCCAAAAGAAAAACATCTAGCATCCAAAGCGCGTTCCACACCGAGGTTCCGGACGTTTGCCGGGCGCGTTGCGCGCGAGCGCATGCGCCCAAGCGTGCCCGCGTGCCTTTGGGCGTTCTTCAGGGCAATGCCCAAGTTGTTCTGAGCATTGGATAGAGCTAAGCCTCAAAGTCAACGCAATGACTGACATTTAGGGATGCTACGCTTAATTGGCAATATAAGCCCCAGGTATGAAGAGGTTGTTCAATCCAACTGGAGGGGGGGGGGTATTAATCAAGATCCGCCCAAATGGTTCTTTCAAAGTTGCTGCTCATGTCCGGCTTTTCACACCGGAAATCGAGGTTGGGAGGTCTGTCGAAGCACCCGTTGATCCCGTTGAAGCACCCCTTGATCCCGTTGTTCCAGGACCATATGTCGAGCTCGACACCAAAAAAGGAAGCTGGCAAGACATGCGACCCAAACATCAACCAACTAGCTAAGGGGTTCCCTGTGGAACTCCCTGTTGCTCCCATGACTCTTCGCGACCGTCGCTCGCACGTCCACAAGTAGACGGCGAAACGCGCGTTTCGCCCGTCGTCCCGGATGCTGGGCTCATGAAGGATGAAGGTCTGTCCCCGTCCATTTGGTGTCAGAGAACATTGAACTCATCACAGGATCCAATGACGGACCCATAGAATAAAAAACGCTAAGGATCTGGCCAAGCTGCACATATAATGTATATGTTGTTCATGGGGTGTTTGATGCTGTATGATGATGTTTGCAACTTCATCACCCCTTCGACCAAAACCGCTGGATCTCGATCCATCGGGGACGTTTTGGATGTCGATCCATCCAAGGCTCGCTCTTCTAGCACCTCCATGGAGAACTGCTCCCCTTCCAGTTGAACCACCGCCTTCCATGGGGGGGGGTGGGCTCCTGAGGGCTTTGTGGGGAGGGGCTCGAAGAGAAGTGAACACGAGCCGGAAACCTGTGGAAAAACCCAAAGGTTCAAGAGCCACATTTGACTCTAATGACTCTAGACCCCACATATCCCCACATCTTCTCCTGAGGCTGGTGAGCTGCCAGTGGCGGAGACAAGAGACAATAGATCAACGCAGGTCAATAGTCCAAGGTGCTGCTGCCCCCCTCTTTCTCGCTGTGCGATGTAGCAACGACATTGACTAAAGCATCTTTAAAACCTATATCCACCAAGCCCTCACCCTTCACCCTCCTTTTACTACCATTCTTTCACCGTGGCACCAATGTGCCATACCACGCTCAATACCTCCTCTGCTCCGCTCCACGAAGGCCGTGGCCGCCCGTGCGTGCCCGCTGGGTTCACCACCACGCCTCCCAACTGGCCACGGCCTCGGCCCAGCGCCTCAGCTTCAACTGCACCTGCCGAGGCACGGGCACGGTTCGTGGCTCACGACCGAGGTCTGAGTCTCCAACACGTAGGCGGTGAGGTTAGCACGTCCAGGGCCGGACTCTTTCGGATGGGAGGATGAGTAGGTTCGTTATGATTCACGGCGTGTGGTTAAGATATAAGTGAACATTGAATATATGAATCATGTGGCTTGGGGAAATGTCAATGTTCAATCTCATGCCATTTTTTTCAATGACTGCTTCACCTTGCCATCAATTACAACGATCTCCGGATGGAGAATTACTCCAGCCCAGTCTCATGGCGAATCTGCTTCACCTCAGTGTCTCAAATCCTGACTGGTGAACTTGTTCCTGATAGGAGAATACTTGGCTGAAAGGTACTCTACCTGGTTGAAGGGTAGTTAACCTTCAAAAAGTCTTCTACCTGTATATGAAGCTGAAACGATTGGTATTTGACGAACATGCTCCGTATATGATATATACATGCCCGCCACTATGCCCGCCACTTGATATGAATAATTACCACTTGATTCTCACAGGATGTGAGGCTTTTTTTGGTCGTTACGGCTAGTATTTATACTTAGCGCACATACCTGCCGCCTATCCACCCATTTGCCCGGATCTCTCTCCACTCACAATGTCTTTTTCCCCATTACCCGCCCACCGTGCACTTCCGGTGCAACCCGCCCACCGTGGCACCGCTCTGATCCTCTCCCAACCCGCGCCTTCCCCATCAACGACTGGGCGTTGATCTCCTCCCGCCGCTGCCGCGCTTGCCGGGCCGCCTGCAAGGCCTCCTCCAGGAGAGGAAGCGCCGCCTCGGGCTGCCGCTCGGACAGCTGGCGGGCCTCAAGCTGGCGTGGAGTGGAGAGTGGTGGCATGCGTCGGCGAGAGAGGTGTCGGTTAGTGAGGTGCAATGGGCCTCTTTATATGGGGCTATATTGTGGAAGGCTATACCATGGAACATTGAGGAACCATTATGTACAAAAATGGTTTCTTACGATCGGGGAGAAGCCATTCACTTGCAGGAGAAGGGAAGGTCGAGTCGTTCTGGCGAAATGGAGGAAGGCACACTCGCATGACAAGAGCGCAAATGGACTGATGGGCTGATGGCTAACCTACCGGTGTAGATGTCATAAATGGCTGACATGGCCAAATGGCGGCCATGGCTCACACCATATGACCCAAGGACCTGTTCATTTGCGTTTCCTCTACCAGGAGGGTTGGGCAGGTTCAGCCCAACCGCCAGATCTCTCGGACCCTTGAAGTGCCTGATCTGTGAGGGCTTTGGCACCACAGGGTCCGGCAGACTTTGCTGCTGAACGCTCCTCCTCTTCCTCCTCCTGCAGGTTGCTGGCTGGGTACTTTAAAGCTTCAACACCTTTCTAAAGAAGTCTCTTCGTTCTCACTAGCTTGAATGAACGCTGGATGCTGGAGGCTTCCACTAAGTAGAAACACATGTTCTCCCAAATCTACTTTCAGCCTCCAGCCCCAATTCAACATTAACTCAAGAATCTCTTGCACTGGTCTCACCGGCTGACCAATTGACCATCAATGAGATGAACTCTTTTCCATTCCGAATCGCAGCGGAGCGCTCTGCTCGCCCGCTGCTCAAGGCTCCAAACCCCCACCGCCCCGGCCCCGCGGCGGAGCGCTCTGCTCCGCGACCGCCTCCTTTCTCCTCTTCGCTTCCAACAGCGCGACGGCGCGGTCGACCTCCTTTCCTCACCGTAAGAAGCCCGCGGGTTCCGTCCGGGGGTTCCGTCCGGGATTGGAGTCGAGACACTGGTCCTGTTGCTAGGTATATCTGAGAACAAAACGGACAAAACATTAAAGGGGGGACTAGGCCCAGGATTGATGGATATGACTTAGGATCTGCGTGCCGAACATATATTATATTGGCTGCTCACCCTGATTGTGGATCTTCGGGGTGTATGCAAGGACTAACACAAGCAATTTTTTAAGATTGAACATGCTGCCTTCCCTCTAGTTCCAAGATGTTCCAAGCACCTGGCAGTTCCACTCACACAGTCACACCAAGCACAGAAAATATTGGGATGATGGTTCTTTGCCCCTGTCGGAACCCAAGTGGGCCAATGTGAGACCGAGTCGCCCAGCTGCTGTAGCGCCTTGTCTTCCGAGAAGCGCTGCAGGCCCAGCTTCAGTGCCTCCCGGGCTTCCAGGCAGCGGCCGCGCCGCAGGCGAGCGCGCACCAGCTGGTAGTGGCTCCTCGGAGGTGACGTGATGTGGACCCGAGCGGAGGGACCGTGATGCCCAAGTGGAACCGATATAGGCATGACGTTCTTTTTTGCATCTCGCGCCAGCTACAGGCATAGCTAGGCGTTCCAGATCGTTCCAGTCAAGTGTTGCGTTTGGGTTTGGACGCAATTCATGAAACACATCTCACGAAATGGAGTGGAGAGGTCGACTTCTCCATGCAATTTGTTAGAGGTCGCGTTGGTGGACTGTGGGGTGGGTGTGTGTGGTTTGTTTCATTAGGGGTTATCTTTATAGGTGGATAGGTGGAATAAGGCTGATGGATCTTTAATAATGATTCCCCGTTGAGAGCAGGAACACGCATGAGGTTTGATACCTTTAAAACTTTCGTGCAACGTCTTCGTCGTCGGAGTGCACGTATGTAAGGATAAAAAAACATGTAGTTAAGTGCCTCAAAGGTATTATCTATACCTATATCATATATCCCAAAAACTGCATGTAATGATATGGAATATATTCCACATTGAGCTCCGCGTCTCTGGGTATGTTCCTCCTTCTCATTGCTTTTCAGTTCCATGGTCAAAGTGCATGGTCGGGTCTACGGCACCCATGTTCCACTCACCTCGGGTCATCAAAAAGCGACCAAACCACGACAGGAGAACTCCCGTCGGCCGCGCGCGCCGGCTCTCGCGCGCGCCGCCGTGGAAGCACACTCCACCCGAGTCGCTTGGCGGGTGCCTGTTGGTCTGCTAGCTCCACTGCCTTGGCCGCATCCAGCTCCGCGTCCTTCCAGAGCTCCAGTGCCGAATTGGCGATCGCACGGTTCCTGGAGGGGCTTCGTAGCCTCCACATCCGTGGTTGGAGGGATCTGGGGAGGCTGTGTTGCATGGGATTTGGGGTGAAAAATGGGTCAAATGAATCCATTCGCAGTTCCTACACAAGTCTCCTCCATGCCGGGACAGCCAGCATAGGATGTATATTACTATTATGAAGCCTGATGAAGCAATAAAACAGCCAGCAACTCGTGGTGCTGGTCATGTTTGTCAGCAAGCATCACGCATACATACGCATACGCAATATGCAAGCAACAATAATCATTGACCATGTAATCGTTATTGGTCACCCACCTTGCCCTGGCCAGGCGATGATTTCTTCCCCACAGCTGAGCCCGGCTGAGCTGCTTTTCTTTTTGGATCCGCGAGCATGGCCCCCAAAACCGAGAGGCAAATGGTACGTGGCGTTCTCCGGGTCGATCTTAATGGCTTTGCTGTAGTACTTGATGGCCTTGCTTGACATCAGCATCATGAGCACAACAAACCCAAAGAGGCCAAGACCCAGTGACTTAAGAAAACGTTTGGGGTGTTTTAATGCGTCTTCACCGGCATGAGTTGAGGCTCTCATCCCTAGAGGTGTCTGACATGATAAAAAGATAGAGACGATAAATGCCAAGTAAAACATTGTTCAATCCTCTCCTTGCTAGAAAACATTGGAAAACCAAGAGGAAAAATCACACACATATCACATGACATGAATATAGAACATGTTGTTCCCCTTGGCTTCGCTTTAAGAAGCAACGATTCACTTTTTAGTAGCCCCAAAGGAGATGCTCCTAAGAACGAACTGGTACTGGTTACTACAGTACCAGACTTGTACCAAACAAGTCAATGGTCGGGCATGGCATGTGTGCTATATGACATCGCCCAGCCTTTGGATATTTCTTCTTCCCCATGGCTCGGTTCCCCTTCTTCTTCTTCGTCTCGGCGTCGCTGGTGCTGCCTGAGCTTTCCTGTCAGCGGATTCGCGGATGGCATTCTCTTTCTGGTACAGAGCAGCGACCATGCGAGGCGGCGTCCAACCCACCCTGTGGCCAACGGCCACCCGCCACGCCTCATCACTGGTGGTGGGGGGCGTGGGCGGCGTCTGCTTGCAACCAAAGATGTGCGACATGTAGCGTTTGGCAAGTTGAAGAGAACAGAACAACTGGAGCGTTTGGAAAATGAGGGGGCTCCTCATGGCTGCCCCAACAGTGGGATCATTTTGCCGTTCTGCCGAAGACAACCGGTTGCACATGCGAGTGCCAAAGTGTAATTACTGTCTTTGAACATCGTCGGCATTTACCCTCTGATGTGCATCTCTTGGCGCATGAAGCGGCAGGCTTTTAGTCTTTGAGTGTCACTCTTGCAAATAAGCTTCGGAAAGGATCTAGTTCCAAGGAGGCCAACGACCTTGTTTTATCCTCCATATCAGCTATGAAGACCACGGAGACATACACAAGAACTTACCCCCTATATACATTTTTCGTTTATACATGGACTAGGTGCTTGAAAGGTGCAAACCCGACTACCTGAGATCCCTGTCACAACAGTCCTTACCACTCAAACACTCCACCGAACTCATCTACCGACGCCCATGGAACTAGGCGTCGGAAAAATGGCTGAGCTATTCTGAGCATTTTGGAACCATTAGAGTGGCCCTAATGTAGACTCTTGATTAATAAACCATCCCATTTGGAAGAAAAGTCCTCTTCATGTGGGGGTATTACTAATCAAGAGTCTACACTATGTCACTCTTCCAGGTTCCCAAATTAACGGAGTGTCACCTCGGAGTCAAAGCGGAATCTCTCACACTCACCCACCGCCCATGTTTAATCTCGACCCCCCCCCAAAAAAAAAGGCTATTCCTGGACCCACTGTCGGGGTGGTTAATAGACACCCCTTGACCTCTTTTCAGGGGCTATCAATTAGACACCCCCTTAGGGTGTCCTGGTATAGAAAAGTCTTTTTCCCTCACTCAGCGGACGGCCGTGTCTCTCCTTTTTTCGGCGGCGCTGGGCGATCGGAGCACTGGACATGGAGCTGCATCCCAACCCACGGCATCCCAAAGAAGCACGGGGTGGGGCCACCAAATGGGACAACAAACACATCTACACTTTCAACACCCTTCAAGAAGTTGATCCCTGAAAGTATTGGATTTTTATATCATAAGACCTGCCGGAAATCTGTTGAAAGCTGTTGGACTCTCAGTGTTTTTTGCCGTTTGCCATGGCACATCCAAGGGACAGCTTGCTCACTGACCAGACCCACGAACTTTGTCGCCCACTGAAAGCATTCCGGGGCTTGCGGCATGCGGGATTCTTTCACCTGCTGACCAATATTATCCGCAGTCCCAGTCCCCATTACAAGAAATCGAAGTTGGCGTTGGGCGCATTTGCCGCATAGCTGACTGGTGGCGGCGGCGGCTGACTCAGGCGCCAGTACTGGTCATTGGAGGCACTGCTCGGTGCAAAGAACACGTGGCCATCACGTTCCTCGGGAAAGGAACGTCGCGCACGGTGTCAACGGGCAAACATGGTCGACGGGGTGTTTCAAAGGTGGGGAAAGAATTGTGTTTGTTCTGTTTTTTGTTCAGGAGTGTGTTGTGCATTCGGACGGTACTAGTGCCGTGGAATGTGGCTCATATCTTGCTCTATCTGCTCTAAACATAGTCAGCACAAGCGCCTTCAAAATGGGGCGAGGGACTCTCATCACCCCTAAATGGCCTTTGGAAGATCATCTTCCTCCAGTGTTAAGGGCCCTGGAGGTGGAACAACCAATAATCAAATGATTCTAAATGGACGAATGGGACATACCTAGGGGAAACTCTCGTCGATATTCAGTTGAAGGATGGCATGCCTGGCTTCTTACGGGTGTAGACCATCCATCGAGCACCCGCTGGCAGGCCCATTTCCCGCGCGAGAAGGATCTTCCGCCGGGGTCCCCAAACGTCCGGAGAAAAAACCAGAAGCTCCGTTCTGCAGGGTGTTTTGTTTATTGTCGGGTGAAGCCAGCACATGGCGTTGAGGTTGCTAAGATCTCTGCGTGACATCTGAGTGACACATATCACCAAAAAAAGTCCCACTGGCAATATGATTTATACGTTTTGATACTTATATCTTTCCCTCAGAGTCCTGGGACCTGGAAAAGTAGGTAGGACCGCTACTTTTTTGTTCCTCGGACCGCTAGGGTGTCTTGGATCCCCCACAAAAAGGTCTGTCTGTCAAGAAGTGCATCACACACATCCGAAACACTCCTTACAGGCCATTTTCAAGATGGCGGGTCTGGATGTTGATGGGTTTGGAAGCTATACATGTATCACATCGGCCAACCAACCAAAATCAAACAAACTGTCTGGGTTCTGGTTTGGAAGATTTGTGATCATAGTCTTGTTCCCTCCTGGAGGTTTGTGATGAAAACGGTTAGTGACTGACTCCAACAAGGGGGTGCCTCTCATGGCTTGCTCCTTGATCATCCAATTTTCTCACCTGAACGACTCACCGATCTGTGTGGCGGAGTAGATTTGTGGGGCACTAAGAACGTTGCAAAAGCCCGTCTGAGACGTTGACTCCACCATTCGTGGGCCCGTTTGGCAGTCTAGTAGGCAGGCACTGGTGTTGGGAGGGAAACTGGAGGAGTCCAGTTTAGGCATGGTGTTTTTTTTGCCCAAACTGGACTCCTCCGTCGAGAGAGAAACGTTCCGATCACTGCCATGGATCTGTCAAGAACTTCGGATGAGGACAGGTGGTTCGGATGCTGAAGTGGTTCGCGCTCGGCTGACAGAACTGGTGCTTTCCGTTTTGACCTCAGTCATGCGGAGGGCGGCATGGTCGTTCAGGCAGGCTTCCCTGAAGGGTTGGCATCAATCGTCAAGGTCCAATCAGGAGTGATAAAGGTGGGTACTAAGGTGGGTTTTTAGTCCCTAAGTGCCTATCCTCCGGCACCCCTGTGGCACTGCTGGTCGGTCTGTCCTTCTTCTGGACCCATTTTGGAAGATCAAACCTGCCAAGGTCCGACTCTGGCCAATCACCGTAGGAAAGAACGAGTCAATGGGAAGCAGTAGTCAGAGGTTCGATGGTTCAAGTTACCCCAAGTTATGTATAGGCGGTGGTTTGTACGATTAAAAACACTTACCAAACACATCTTTGGGTGCCAGTGCCATCTACTTCTTGAAATCACTAGTTGAATGGACCAATCAAAAACGATGCAAAACGACACGTCGTTCTTGACAGCGGTGGGACGTCCGTGACGACGCATCATGTGTGGGGTGCTGTGCGTGCGGTGCCAAACGGATAACAGGGCGAAAAGCCTTGACAAAGAGTGCTCCAGAGCCTTCCAAGGACATATCATATCTGATCATCTCTGATCATATCTAACGAAAACCAGGACCTTATCATATCCAGGTCCAAGGATATCTCTTCGTCCAAGCATCTGCACATCTTCACTGGCTCCAGCTTCCTTAGGGGGTCTCTGCACGGAAAGGAAGCAGGATCTGCTCAGCGGCTGGGAAGTGATCCACTCCTATATACCAATTAGCGAGCCACTTGGGAACGCCATAGAACGGTGTGCATCATGTGTACGGTTGCCCTGGACCATGAAGTGCCAGTGCTTGTCGTTCAATGATCTCTAGAGAGCTGGTTCCACTGGTCACCCAAGGGCCACATCTGGCTTGAGGCTTGGAAGGAGGAAGCAGCCGTAATGAACCTTATGGCCTTATGGCCGTGATGAACTGCACTGGCACCCTCAACATCTTCAAACCATTGAGACCGGTTCCAGGCAAATCGTGTGTTCCCCACATCAAACGAAGGTCCACTCAGATCAAAGCACGAGCCTAGAGATACAGCAGCAGCAGCAGGAGGAGGAGGAGCAGTAGTAGCAGTAGTAGGAGTAGCAGTAGCCGAAAGCAGTGGTAGTAGTAGTGGCAGTAGTGGTAGTAGTGATTGAAGTAGAAATGGCGGTAGTAGCAGTAGCAGCAAGTATGTGCTCAAAATCCCTCAAAGAACTTGGGTCCAAAAGACGGACCTGATCATGACATAGGCAAAGCAAACATATGGAAACCCGCAAGAAACTCGATATGCACAGTGGTATATTCAAACAAAAACCTTGCATGGTGCTCTTCAACTTCAAGGTTCATGCAGTAGTTGCAGAAGGGCGTAAGGACCCCATCTGTCGAGCAATCCATGTCCTGGACTCTTTGCGTTTGGAGCAGCAACATAGCTCTACGACGAGGAGCGGTGTTGACACAACATCTGAAAGACCTCGCACAGCTATAGCCTTCCTTGAACTAAGAAACACATGTTGCATGATGTTCCATGGCAACTGTCCACTCATCTCCACTCATCAAAAGCTCCAAAAGAGTAAGCCGCTTACACTCCCAAACCTCCCAAATGGTGGCATCTGTTAAGTCATGAAACATGGCACCCCAATTGTCCCAAACCCTAAGCACCACCCGAAAAAAATATATGTGCATATATATATATACATATGTTTTTTTTGTATAGATGTATAGAACCATTCACTCGAGTGGTTCCTGAATCTTCGGGGAGGTTATTGCATCACCAATGCTGAGTTGATTCCTCAGAAGGGCGTGCGGTCGGTGAAAGGTCTGGATGTGGGAAACAACACCACCCGCACGTGCGGTCGATTGATTCGGTCTGAGTCGGTCGTCATTCGGTCGCATCTCCGTTGAGCGACTCGCTCGGGCCAGAAAAAACACATCACCCCCCTGGTCCCCAACCATCAAAAAACATACTCTCCAAGGGAAATGCTACCAGTCTCCTGCAATCTGTGCTGATCCATCACCGTGAGCAGCGCTTGCGGCTCATCGGGCTGATTAGGATCGGCGTGCGGCCGGTGCAACAGCAGGCGTGGAAAGGATAGGCCACCTGCACCGCCAATGAGTGTACCGCCCATGGCATTCTCTGCAGGACTCGGACCCCGCAAAAAAACACCTCAAAGTCGACTGAAGGCGATGTATCTCACCAACTCACTCACCAACAAATCACCGGGGTCATGTCCAACCAATTCCGCCCTGCTAGCCTTAATATGCCTTAATAGCCCATCGCACATCTCTGTGTCTTGGGGCGGACCCTGTGGGACCGATGCCTTGCACGTTCTGCGTGTAGTCCGGCGAGAAGATGTAGGCGCCCTCCATGCACGAGGGGCCCCAACAGCGGAGCTGCCAGCGCACCACGGGGTTCTGCACATCCTAGGAGTCACATGGAGGCCAGGGTGGTTTGAGTGATGGTTTGGCTGGTCCCTAGGTGAGTGGAGGTACATAGAGTCCTTAAGGAGTCACATGGAGTGGGGTGGTTTGGCTCGTCCCATCCAGTGAGTGGATGTGGATAATGGGCATCCCGACTTCGTCCAATAAATAGACACCCCGTCGAACGTGACTGGCTAAGACTCATGGCGTTGATTCGGTGTGAAGACTAATGGGTGTGTTTGGAGAACCCCAAAGTGAAAAGAACCAATAGGACCAGGACCAATAGCGCGTCACGAAACATGAAGACTTGGAGAACGCCATCCCATCCGGAAGCTCGGCACCGCACCCGGATGCATCACGACGGATCTGTCCGGAGAGGTGGTATACGCCCGGTGAGGACGGCGAACTTCGTCATCGGCATCCCACAAGATGAAAAGAACATGATCTTGAAGTCATGACTCTTTAGCTTCCAGTGACCTCTCCCTTCGATGTGGCGAGTCATGGTTCCCTTTCTTCGCCGCAAAGATAGCCCCGCTCAGCCGGTCCAGAGGCGAACCTGGAAAACGGTGGCCATAAGGCTATAAGGATCTATAGGGCCAGGCCCAGGCCAGGCCCTGGCTGTGAAGAGACCAGAAGCAAAAAGATCCGGAAGTTTGTTTGGATTCTGAACTTGTCACCTGGTCCCCTTTCTGATCGAAAACGACTGCACATATAAACCTGGGACAACTATATAGAAAGAAAACACATAATGTCATGACTGCGCAAGATCCACCCCCAAAAAAAGAACTTCAAGGAAGCACCCACCACGACCAGCCTACTCATAAGACTTAATCCTCCAAATGCCTGTCTTTTACCTATTTTCACATCGGCCAGGCTCGTCGTACGGCAGCTCCAGCCGATGGTCTGAGGCCCAGTTCGTCACCTGCAAAAAGATGGAACGCTCCATGTCACGGTCAAAAGGAGAGATGAAGTGCCTAAGAAACCTATATGTTCTACCTATATACAAAAACAAACAGAAAGCAGGTTTCCCAAAAATAAATTCCTATGACCACGAGCACACTTGCCCGAAGAAACCGGAGTATATACCAAAAGCAAGATTGCTTGACCTTCTTGGACATGTACCATACAAAAACATGTTCTCAACGTAAAGCCGTTGCATACCCACGGCTTAAGTGCCATGTTCCACTTCCAAGATTTCATACACCAACCGACGCTCTCTGTCTCAGGGTGAAAGGAGTCGGGAGGACCTCTTCTTCGGTGTTTCTGAATGAAACTGCCATGTTCACCGCTATGTTCCATGTCATGCAGATCCTGCGCATCGCCAATTCAACCAAAACAATTTAGAAGAATTACTGTAATAAAGGATTCCTCAACGCAATCAATCACAAGGTTCAATATGCTTCCATGTCGAAATGGTTCAATTCAATAGCCGTGCCCAATATATGTTGGGTCAGTATCACTTCGAATCGACTCACTTTTCTGGGCTCTTTCGTCGAAGTTTCGGTCCTTCCACACCAGTCGAAGCCCGAACTCGGAACTGGAGACCCATCGGACCTTCGCTCCGTCCCGGGCCCAGTCCGCTTTCACCTCGAAGGGCTCCGCGTCCAGCGTGCTGCTCTTGCGGAACTCCGGCACGCCCGGGCTCATCTGAAGGGCGTCGGGCGGACGTCGGGCGGAACCGAATGCGACGTGAAACAACGATGCTCTCTCCACCTCACTCCAGTTGCAGCTTTATGATTCTTGGTGTTCTTCCCTGTAGTAGTGCACTTCCGGAAGTAGTTTGGGACCTTTAGTATCACACGATGTTGATCTTGGCCACCCCCGGTTTCCTCAAAGGCAGTGGACCAGCGGAGCACCATCAAGCCATGGACAGTGCCAGCGTCCGCTGGAAGCGTCGGCAGTGGACGGGGGTGAGTGGACGGGATGTATTTGTTTTGTTTGGGCAGAGTTCTCGGATGATCGTCCTGAGGGCACGTGACGGGATTCACGTTCCGGCACGGTTGAACAAGTCCGGAGATGTCACGGTTTTTAATTCAACAAACATGACTGCTGGTCGTTCACTGGGCGTTTACGGCACCAAAAACCTGTCCTCCGTTCGTGGCATGGAAACAGAATTGATTCAATACTATTTAGCCCAACGAGCACCGTCCTCAAGCTTAAGATCCTGGCCGATCCTTTAGGCTTCATCTGGGTGTTTCGGCCGAGCACGTTCCTCCTACTTAGCAGGTGCTGCACTGCATATTGAATCATGCAAAGCTGTGTGCGTGATTCACAAGAATGGACACATCACCTACAAGTCTCTAACTAAATGGGAATTCTAGCTACCAGCTGTCAAGATGTCTCCAGCAACATTCCTTGAACCAACTCGGATTTGACCTCAAAGGCTGCAGCAGTACAAGTCGCGGCCAGTTTCCAAGCCCTGGCATGTCTTTTCAATCTAACATAATCTAACCGCACCTACGCAGGAAACAAAGGCATGTGTTTGCTTGGGAGTCTAACTTACTGTGATTGGCATTTCTGCCTCAAAACTGACCGTTGGAGCCTCTCTCGCCCAGGATCGACACTAACCTGAACAGCGTGGTCTGACAAGTGCTGACAAGGAACTTCGGAAAGGCTAACATGTGTGCGTGTGTGTCCAGTCTCACCATGTCTGCCCGCCCGCCTTTGGCGGAATTTTAGTTGGTGCGTTTGATCTAGGTATAAACCCGAACACCTCGACAACACAGCAGCTTGGTCAGCTTGGTGTCCACCTCCCATCTGCAACCATCTGGACTTCGGACCGGAGGCCCCCACTGGCGGCCCAGGCGCGTTCGCGCAGCGTTCGCTGAGCCTCCAAGGTCTGACCCGCTGGACTTGCTCAGAGCATTGAAGTTCGGATGTTGGTAGGTGACCCACATGGATGACAAATCTGGGAATCCCATGAGCATGTTTTTTTGATCTGGGAATCCTCGAAAAACGCGGTCAGACCTGGGAAGACATGTGGTGTGTCTGACCTGTTCAGTTTGGAGCATTAATATATATATATAGAGTTCTTGATGTTCACCTGTTCTTGTCCGTCCAGCACTGGTATCGAAGCTTCTCGAAGTGATCGACTGGGTAGGGTGTTAACCGGGTGTTCTCACGTTGTTCCGCATGGATTCATAGATTGAAGCTTCCCTGTCTTTTCAGCCTGCTAAACCACCTTTTGGAGATTGTGTCATCTACTCTGACACCGGTGTATGTTCACTTGGGAAAAGGACTCATCTGCATTCAACAATTCTGCAGAGAGCAATTCGTTCCAATGCCTCAGGCAAACCGCGCCGCTTTTCATGTGGGAAAACCAGCAGGCTCCGGCCAATTGAATTGTGAGACCTGGAGAGATGTACTGTATTCATCAGTATCCCAGTTCACCTCCAAATTCTTGTCAGACGTGGACTGATCATACAGAATATATGGTTGTTCACACCTCGTTTCTTGGTGATGATGATCCTGTGATCTCATCTCTCGACGGCAAGAGTGCTGCGGTGCGCCCAGCGCACCAGGGCGCGCCAGGAAGAATTGACTGTACAGTTGCTTGCAGGAAAAGTGTGGCCCTTACTGACCGGCCTAAGGAACTGCGACAACAATGGAAACCCCGAGGCCCGAGGAGTATGAACTCCAAAAGCATCTGAATCCTCGTTGGGCGTGAGGAAATCCTGTTTTGTTTGACTCTTTTCGACTTGGTCTTGGCAAACTGAACCTGGGTGTCCTTGAAAACCCGCGCTCTTCACTGCTCAAGGCATCGCTTGGTCCAAGCCGTCCTGAAGGGGATGGTCAACTTTGGTCTGTGCGAAAGTGAAGCCTCCTGGGCAGAACAAAGAATTGCATGAACCGCTTATGAAGTCTTGACTGATAGCCGCCACAACAGCATTTGACAGCCAGCTTGTGCCCACAGTGTTCCAGCCGGATATAGCCGGATGCACTTGCCCCCTCTTACCTGTGTTGTGCTACAAGGTCTGTCGGGTGTTTTTTTTTTCCAGCTCTTCACCCCATTACAGGTCTTCGAAGCCAAGGTCAAACGCATGTAACAGCGCCGCCAGTTGGACCGGGCTGCTGGGGACGTGAGTTCATGCGGGAGCAATTGAATGAGCCCAAGTGGCATAGAGCTCATTCACGCGCTTCTCCATCGCTGGCGGGAATTTCTTCCGTCCGCCCTCTTTCTTCACATCCAGTGCCTGGATCCCCAGCGGTTCGCTGGCAGCTGCCCGGAATCCGTCTTTTAAACACTTATGACACAATATTGAGCACATGTCAGCGACATGCACCACATCACCAGTTCTTCACGTCACTGCGTACAACATCTGAAAATTCATATTGCGTTCCACTGTGTCATCCCCCCAAAAAATGTCCCAACCATTTCCTCAAAACAAAAAAATACCAAACACGCCACCATGACAGTCTCCAATTTCCTCAATCCTTTTCACCTCCAGAACCATCGCAGGTTCCCACCGGACACGTCGATGCCCGCCTGGCCGAAGCTGAGGCCCACCGCGGCGCGCTGCGCCGACCGTGACTCGCCCACGGAGGCCTTGGCGTCCTCGGGCGGCGGCACCAGCCTGCGGACTTGGTGACCACCGTGGGATGGATGGTCTTTGGCTGGGGGCACTGGGGCTTCATATGGGAAAAAAACATGTAGATGTTGTGAGTGAATTGGGGTGTGACTAATTAAGGAATTGCTTTTGGAGTGGTAGAGCCACCGGTCATACCCTGAGTCACAAGAAGGGGTGAAGGGTGGGTCCGGCATTCAAGGGCCCCCCCTCCAAAAACAAACTATAGGAGGGTCCCCAAATTTGTTCGTCGAGCGCTCACCGCCCTGTCAGTAATAATAATGGTTCATGTCTACACTAGAGTCTACACATCAGCTGGCACATTCCCCCGGCCTATGCGTCCACATCGCCAATGGCATGAAGTGTGTCGTGGGGCCATCACCACGGCCGGCCTCCGATTTGACCGTGGAACACGCGTCATTTGCGGTGTGTGTCGAAAGGGAGGTTCCACCAAGCTCGGTGACCAATGCTAACGTACGACATGTGTCACTGGGTAAGAGAAGCGACGCGAGCAGTAACCAATGCTAGCTACTATATGCATTAATGTGTAATTATACCACATATCTAATCTATGATTCTTCTGTGTCCTCCTAGTGGGGTTCCAAGTGCAGAGTCGCTCTTTCCATTAGGCGTACAACTTGTTCAAACATGTAGTCGATGGTTTCAGCGTCACTTCCTCCTTGCTCACTTCCTGCTGTACAACTCGCCGGCGTCACATCGGATAGACTGCGGTCCAACAACGCACTGATCCCTGAACTTTTGGCGAGCTCCGGACGCAAATGGTTCCGCACAAGACCGCCTGCACACCTCTATCCTCATGAGATGTATACCAGTGAAATCATTTGGGCTGGAACAATGGACTGAAGGAAAACATTCGACTGAAGACCTCATTTGGGCAGAATATCTGCCTGCGGGCGGAAGAAAAACAATTCAGTCAGAAAATGCCTGCTGTCGGCACTTCTTCCAAAAACCATTGAAAATGCCTCAAAAACCCGCCTCAGGCGGACAAGCCTGGTTCGGGCAACTAGGTCTGAATCAGCTCGGGCTGAAACTATAGACTGGAGGAGTTCCTCGCAATGACTCTGTCAGCGGGAAGCGGGTCAAATTAGGAGCGTTTTTTCGTTAAAGGGAGCTTCAGGAATCGAGGCTGACTTCGCAAATTCACACCAAGCAAGCCCCTTCTCCTCTTCCACCCCCCACCCCTTCGCTCCAACCCGCATGCGATCGCCCATCTCCCCCGATCGAGCTCCCTTCGCGACGGGGAAGCGGCACCTTCTGCGCCAGGAGCAGGAAGAGCCCCACCGAGGACGCGTCGAACTCCGCCGGGCCAAAGCGTCCGGTCTCGGCCCGCCTGGTGTCACGCGTGGAACGCCCAAAGGAGAGGTCTGCGCGCGCAAAAGCGCTGCTTTTTGGCGTGGAGATGTGGACCAGATTGGAGATGTTGATTCAAGTGTGAAGCTATGCTTTTTGGTGGTACCAGCACATCAAGCACAAATGCAATCAACTATAATCACAAGCCTTTCATAAGCTATGCATTTCTGCCTTTCATTTGGACCCTTCCAACACGAGGCTCCCCAAATGCATCGACTCTCTGCTCTCGCCACGTGCGTCCTACGTCCGTCCTCCGATCTCGGCCGCCGGAAGGCGCCACCCAAAAGATGTGGCCTAAAGGCGGCGTCGGCCCGGCGTCGGCCCGTCGCACCAAATGCTCAAAAGAGGTGTTTTGATTGGTTTTTGTGTAGTGAGAATGAAGTCAATGGATGTTAGATGTTCTTCCTTCATATATTGGTTTTGTATGGTTTTGTTGTTGTTGTCCATTGCTGTCGTTCCTGTCCTTGTGAGTGTTCACGGCTTTGTACTTCGCAAGTTGTTCCTTTCACCTTGCTTTGGTGCCACAGATCGGATCGTTGTGAAGAACTGGACCCTCGGATGCGGGAGCATTTTTGGCTCTGGCATGGCTTCATTGCACCTGTGTCAACAAGAAAGAACCACCATATTGCCGAGACACCAGGACCTTCGACATGGAGTCTCTATAAGCGAGCTTTTACAGGCTTGTTCGTTGACCTAAGGCATCCGTTTCCACGACATAGCAGTAGCAACGCTAGACCCGGCCTCCCTCCTTCATGAGCCGTTGCATCTCAGAGATCGTCCTTGGATTCTAGGGTGATCGTCCAGCCGGGCGAACAAGCACATTGACTGACGTGTGCGACTCGTGAGAAATGAGGGAATGGATTCTGAGGTGTCTCTTGCGGGGGACCATGCTCTCATTCTGAGTTGCACCTGTCAGCCTTCTTAATTTGGGGCCACTTGGACCTCACCAACAACGACCTCGATTCGAGGTGAATTCGACCTGCAGTCATGATCTGCTCAAACAGTCCAACAATTAAATCCTCACAGACCGGGTCTGATGTTTAAGCTGGAAAGAATGGAAACGGACAATGGACACCCTCCGCAGGACTCGCTTTGCAGCCGAAGATCTTCTTGTTTCGCTCCGCTTTGGCCTCTTGCTCCTCTTCTGTGCCTTGGAAGCGGGGGAAGAAAAATACGCTCCGACCAGGAGGAGCGAGCGAGCTGGTCGTAACGCCCAAACGCTCAGAAGGAGTAGGAAGTTCGAAGGAGAAGTATTGTAGTTACAGTAATGCAAATAGTTAAGGTTCTCCTCTTCACTCACCAACTTGAGAGCTGTTGTCAGGAGAGGTCTGTGGCAAATCTACCCTCCTAGTATACAGCTTGCACAAAATGGCGGATATAATAAATAATGGATAAAGTTGTTAATCGATGTTAATCGAGAATAGCCAGTAGAGAGACTCGAGCGTCTCCTGCCCCATGTTGTGGCTGGGCCAGGAGACACCACCAACCCTCCCTCTTCCCGGAGGTCCCCGGAGGGCCGGCCTTCATCCAAATACTTCTTGGAGAAAATCGACAGCAAATAGCGCCCCTTGCCTCAAGCCCACTTCAGTGTCGAATTCACAGTAGATTCGAAGGCTGAATTCCACCACACACTGACTTCCGGACTCCACGGACTCTCTCTCACACACACACACCACTTGGATGTTGGAACACTATCCGCTATCCCTGACCCTGGATGTTTGAGTGACGCGGTTGCACGGTCGCCCCCCACGCTTGGCCCGGCCCAGGGGAGCGGGCTCGGTCCCTCCTATTCGTCAGGAAGAAAGGTGCACAAAAGCAGATGCCATACCCAAACACGCCATGGGACTGCCATATAATATATGCCTACATTGACACCCCTGGCACCACCCCAACTGATCGGCATACAAATGGCAGTCCCATGGAGTGTCTGGGATATATAGCATCGCCACGGAGGACCCGAGTGTCCATTTGCCCCGAAAAGAGGTCGGTCAAGGGGTGTGTATATTAACCACCCCGACTGGGGTTCCAGGTATAGCATCATATAGCGCTTCATGAATCAAACCATGGAATGATATATTGAAAACAAATAAACAATCGATAGGAGTTGCGTGCATCTACGTCATCAAGTTAGGCGATCTATATTGTGATTGGTTGGATCTATTTTGATTCCAACGATGTTCATTTTGCTCAATCATGTCTAAATATTAATACCCAAACATGGGACTGCCATATATGCCGATCAATGGACCCCCCCCAAAACCACCCCAACTGATCGGCATCTATGGCAGTTTTATGGAGTTCATTTGGGATATCAATGTCGACCTTTCATGGGTTGCTTTAGTTGGTGAATGACACATCACCCCAAGCAGGAATGGCCACACTCCTTCCCTGCGCAGGTCGGCTGAAAGGGATCGCTAAGCGGTCCGTGGTCACCTGGAGAGGTCCGGACACCGGACCGAGGCCACGAGCCGCGGAGGTCCGGGCCGTTGACGTCTTCCAACAAAAGCAACTTCCTTCTACCCGTTTGGCCTCGTACCTTGTACCTGACTGGAGGTGGGACTGGAGGTGGGATAGGGGTTCTTCAATACCATGGGGGGTCTCACAAGTCTCCAAGGTGAACCTGCCGCCCTGCAGTGCGGAGGTCCGAATCTGAAGAATCCAGACAAAAGACGAAAAAAGATCCTAAGAAGCTGAATCACACCATCTGCCGCACAAAGGGCGCCTTGTGTCCCGCCACAAAGATGCACTTCTCGGCCAATTCCTCATAGCCCTCCTTCTGCAGCAGCAAGGACAACACCTTCCAACGCTGCATGTGCAACACGGCCGTCGAGAGGAAGAAGCTCCCACTCGATGACGTGTGACATGTGCCTTCTAAGGACGGATTCAGAACATATATACTGATTATACCGCCTTTCGTGTGTTGAGATTCTTCAGAAAGTGCGTTGAAACATCAGTACTTGGACCTGAAATGTCTCGGCAAAAGCAGTCCCCTTCAAAAGATCAAATCCAACAAACTTCAGGCCTTGTCAATATATTGACAGAAGGGCGCCCTTGCAAAATCCAGGCGGGATGCTGTAGCACAAACGTGCACACCACCCCCCCCTAGCCAGGCACCAGCGGCCGAATCCCTTTTCATCTCAACACCCCCCACGTACCGGCCGCCCCATCGCACAGTCGGACCTGAGGATCTGCTTCGGTCTGGTGGTTGGCCATCAACACCACGTTGTCCCCTTTGGCCAGGGTCTCCTGGGTGCGGGTTCCGCCGCTCTTCGGACCCGACCGTCAAACCAACGGGTCCATGTTGAAGGAACTGGAATGTCCTGGGTGTGTTCTTTTGTGTGTGTTCTATATGTTTTTCCGTTGGGTTTCTTCCGACCTCTTGATTTTTATTCGAAGTTCTGAGCGAAATATGCGCAACCCTATGACAAAGCATTGGCTAAAATGATGTTACAAGGCTGGCGTCTTGGCCTTGGCCTGGGATCATGATGGAAACAGGTACAACGGCGTCAGCCAGGCCAGTCAGCCAGGCCATGTACCATATCATAAAACGAGTCAAAAACGTATCTTCTCAAGAGTGCTCTCATTAAATCCAGTCCTTAATGCTCTGCAACTGCTCCAGCCCCTGGCAAAAACGGCCGAATTGAAGCTTCACGTTGGACAGTGGGCGATGTTGTTTCATGTTGTTTGCAACACTTTAAGGCCAGCCTTTGCTGTAAGTCTGAACCAATTACGATGGAAATCTATGGAACATACAGGGGCTTGGAAACGCTCTTGAATGCACTGAAGTTGAATGAAGCTGCACACCAGGCAGGCCGGCGTTTCAGGGTTCACAGGCGCTTCGTGCTCCACTTCCCCCTCCACGTCCGGTTCGCATGGCTGCCTCCACGCGCGCGTGGCGCCACTTGATCATGGACCGGAAGAAGTCGTTCCCCCAGGCGTAAAAGTCCAAGTCTGGCCCTGCGACCGACGCGACCAATGGGACATCATGACCATGTCCCAGACACGACCCTGTCTGGGACTGCCATAGGACTGCCGATCAGTTGGGGTGGGCCATGAGGGGTCAATTGATCGGCATATATATTGGCATACATGGAGTCTGGGTGATGACATGTCCAACTGCCATAATTACTGCCGGATTCGTCAACAACGAAACTCTTAGTGTCAGTGGCAGTGCCCCATCAGATCTGCAGGGGCGGCCCAACACGCCCTCCCGATCAAAGCAACAGCTGCCTCTTTATCGGGCTTGGGGCGTGAAGCTTCGTCCACGCCCCTTCCAAGGATTACCCAAGCTGGGAAACCCCGGCCCAAGTTGGACAATTCAGCATGTTCAGCTTGGCTGGACCCCATATTCCCCCACCCCTGAGAGCTGCATGTACTGTTCCACAGCGAACAAAAAAAGACACGTTGCACCGCCTCGAACGGCCTGATGGTAAGGTTGGAAGTCAAAGGGTTTCTCCGTAAAAATGGAGTCCAACAGCACGTTGAGCGTGGTGTTCCTCGATTGGTGAGAGACGATTTGGGATACATAGAGAGGGGGGGGGATGGAGTCTGGGTCAAAATAGAAGCTGAGAGAGACCAGTGTCAACTTGGGGCCTTCAATCGCTTCAATTTGAGAGTCAAGCAAAACGAACCTGTCCATGCAGTCTTTCAAAGGCCTTTGGAGTTCATTGGCCTTTTGAGTTCTCAGTCTCAGGCCGAATGGCTCTCCAATGGTGTCGCTTTAGCAGTATGCCATGGTGTTCGATGCAGCACTGATGCTCCCACATTGATATCCAAAATCAAGGTGTTCTGTGAGGCCGTTGCTGATTACAGCACCACCTTGGACCACTGGCCACACCAATCCGTGCCGCGAAACGCCAAGGCACAAGAGCTCCCGGTATTGGTGCACCGGCGTCCGCGCGATGACATGACTCCTGGGTTGGTCAAAGATGAAGGACTCGAACGGTGACGAAGTTTCATTCTATGATATTTCTGCATTGAAAGGCTCAAAACAAAAGGAACAATTGATCTATAACAAATGTCTCGTAGATTTGGGCCTCAAACAGGGCCTCCTGTCGCCATGGCCCTGAGGCCCAGTGCGGAGTCGCAAAGACGAATTCGCATCTGGGGAGCTGACGACGCTCCGACGGAAGCGAGGACTGCGGTATAAGCCCAGCGGTGTCGCGGACCGTGTGGGACTGGTGGAGGTCAAGTAACAACCAAGAAACAAAGGTTCTTTTCTCTCCCTGTTGTTTCAGTTCGGTATGCCGCTTCGCGGCGATATATGATGGTTAGTATAGAGACCAATCTCAAAAATTGTGATCCTCTACCGGCGACTGTTGCGGGCAATGGGACACACCCTTCATTGACTTTGGAAGCTCTGGATGGCTGTTGCGGGCAATGGGACACACCCTTCATTGACTTTGGAAGCTCTGGATGGCTGTTTCTTGAATGAAAACTCCCCGCCCCCCCCTAAAAAGAACTATACCAGGGCCCCCTAAGGGGAGTCCAATTATCTTTAGATGTTAAGGGATGTCCATTAACCACCCCTTAGGGGTCCCTGGTATACAGCAAACATCGCCAAAAGCCTATATATGGGGTGGTTTGGGGGGTCAATGTATAGACATATATCGCATATATGTCATACATGGAGTGTCTGGGTACAGAACCAGGGTTTCTATGTCTAATTATGCCATAGTCTTTGGAACTATGACGCCATTTCTATGGTTTGCCAGCTCATCCACGAACGAAATGATCTCGACTAGTCCCAGGCTCCTCATGTAAGCTGGGAGGAACTCCTTCAGCGTCTTCGCGGCTCCTCCACCGGTCCTGCCACGCAGCTCACGTCGTGCCACGTGCCTTCGTGGCTCCTCCCTACCCAGACTCAGCCAGTGAGAGGAAGAAGGAAGGAGTCTGGAAGAAGACATATCATGTTTGAAAACGGCGTCTTTGGGTCCAGAATGGTCCAGAAGCCCTTCAAACTTGCAGCCGGGATCAGAAACCGTTCGTGCGCCGCATGTGGAAGAGACGTGGACATGCGTCTTCGGTCCAGGCGCTTGGGGTGCATCCCGCGGTCACTCCGACATCGCTCGGAGGTGGCGAGGTGAATGGCACGGATGACTACGGTGAACAGCGTTGGAAGCTGGGTGCCCTTGGAATCACCATGCCGTTTTCGAACCGGGTGCCGTTGGCCAGCGGATCCACAATGGAAGCCACCCCCGATGGGATCATTAGAGTCCCAACTCCCAACCCGCAAAATTGGTAACTCAAGTTCATGACTTCGGCTGTTGAACATCGCGAGGTTCCATGAAAACCCCGGGCGAGAAAAGCACACAAACAGAACAACCACCTGGACCTTCAAGGGGTGTCTAATGGAGACCCCTAAGTAGTGTAGGGGCTTCCATTGTTGACCCCTTTGAAGGTGCTGGCACATGTTGCATAAAACCAGCATCGCCTGGAGCTTTGCTCCGCCAACTCTTTGGCCTTCGTCTTTGCCTCCGCTGCCAACTCCTTGGAACGTTGGAATGCGGTCCCAATGTGCTTCACTTTGGACGCATGCCAACATCCATCAACATCCCGACCTGTCTTCAACCACCCCAAGATATCCCAAGATATCCCAAGCATCTTATTTAAAAAAAACATACACAACACATATTATACGCAACGAGTTCCTGTGTTCACTGTAGCATCCGAAGCCCTGATCCATCGCCGTTTGGTCCCTTTCTGTTTGAACCACACCGGTCCTCCCGGTCCACTCGGCTCGCTCCCGCTTGCTCCCGGTGACCGTTGCCCCGGCCTTGGTCACGGAGGCCAAGCGCACGAAGCGGTAGGGCGCCGTGACCCAGGCGCCCAGCTGGCCGACCTCAGCGGACGCCGTTGGAGGAGAAGATCGGGGGTGGAAAGGACAAAATCACACATTTGAGGTGAATTAAGGACACTTATGGCTGGAAATTTATAAGTGTGAGAAGACAGTATGTATATTATATTATAGATGATGGCAGGCGATACGACAGCATGCCACGATGGAAGGAACTTTTGGCATAAAAAGCCATGAGTGATACCATGGCCCTCTAGGTCCTCTAGGCATGCACATCGCCCCCCCCAAAATGGTCCAGAAGTCAAGTGGCACGAGTTTCAAACGAATTTAACCTTTTGTTAATCCACTAGGTTTGCAATTCCAAGTGCTCAGGCTTCCGGCTTAGACCCAAACAGTTAACTGGCTCTTGATATGTGGCATTTTGGGAGCGTTCGAACTTGGCTGCTGGACACTCAGATCCCATACCCTAGGGATCCAAGTACCTTCTCAGAAGGTGAGTGCAAACACTGTTACGTAGGTTTGGAGGGTCCAGTCGTACCTTCTGATACCTCTTAATAGGTAACACATCCCATCCGACCATCCGAATGTGACCCACGGCCGCCGCGTGGTCGAGGAGCCAAGTTCAAGGACTGCCGAGAGCAAAGAGCCAAAAGTAAGAAGGCGCAAAACCTCGCGTCATCGGCACCGCTCCGTCGGGTCCGCCGGGTCCGTCGGGTCCGGCCGATGCAGAACTCGAAAGCAACTGAAGCAGTCGAGAGTGGAAAGCAACTGAAAGCAAAGATGGGATCCTGAAGCAGCTAGACTCGCTAGACCTCTAAAAATGGGCCACAACACGTTCCTGAAAATGTGACGAACTGACTTGGTGATCCTCTTCCCGTGCTCCTCAGAAACCGCCACTTAAAGGGACACCGCCTCTCGTCACTAAAAAAAGGTACTCCCTAAGGTACAGCCCTTGTAGCGATGCCCTTGTTTCTAGTACAAGGCCCTTGTGACCAGGTCAAAATCCATGTGACCTGCTGTGTCAGTCTGTGTCATGTGTCATTCGCCCATCTTTGCACCTGGCACCCTTCATGGCCAGATGTGATGGGCAGCAGGGGGCGGATCTCTATCTTCGTGTGAAGCGTTCGATTTGACCAAACAACGAACATGGGTGAGGCCCCATGGTCGTGCCGGAGTGCATGTGTTGGGGTTGGCCATGGTCTCTGCCTCGGTCGACCCTTCCAAAGGAAAAACGGTCACCGGTGACCCTGCGGGGGTGACGTTTCAGGGAACCGATCGTTTCTACTCGAAGCAATGCTGAAAAAGAGGGACAAACATGTAGAAACATTGTATGTTGTTGCTGTTGCTGTTGTTGTTGCTGTTGTTGTTCAGGAAGGTGCTAATTAGATGGATTGACTGCTTGTTTCCACAGGATTCACATGGCCCTCAGGTTCCAGTTCTCTTCTGAACCTCTCGGTGGTGGGTCTTTCCATGCTTTCTTCGCCTTCCCTCTCCGAGCCAAACCGGCCCGGGCGGGGCCGAAGACTGCAAGCTGACCCGGACACCCCGTATACCCGGACACGACCTGTAATGGGACTGGTCTATTTACCGAGAAACGGCCAGGGGTGGTTCTGGGAGTCAATTGATCGGCATATATGGCAGTCCCATGGAGTGTCTGGGTTATAAACCACTGATCATACAACAAAAAGCAGCCTCCCATGGGGGGGGGTGCTTGGCGAACCAGCCCAGCCCCTCAGATCCAAAAGTCATCTCGACCGTCATCGACCGTCCCCCAAGGTGGGACAGTGACAGGCCAAGATGGATCAAATATGATCAAATCATGTCAGGTGGGGACGCCTACCATGCCTGGACCATCCATCATGCGACCATCCAAAATGGCCAGATCTGCATCGAAGCTACACATCAAAAGGCCGGGCAAACACAAAATCGCTGCAGGGTCAGCATCCGTGCAGTTCCTCTATCGCCAATATTGGCCATGAAATGCCATGCTGAGTGACACTTCCAAGATTTTTGGGAAATCTTAATGCAACTGCTCCCTCCGCTCCCCCCGCCGGTCCGCCGGTTTCATCATCCGTCCCTGCGGTTTCCTCACCTCGCGGAGACGCAGAGCCTCACCTCGTCGACAGGAGGGTTCCCTGGAACGTTGGAAGAAGTGACACCCACGACACGCATGGCACTGCCCTCTTGGGTGCTCTGGTCGTGGCCATTGTGGCAGGTGCCCTGGTTGTGCTTGGTTGCCCTGTTGGGAGAGAGGAAAGAAATGGAAAGAAATGGTATATAGTCTTTCCTCCTGAAGTCATGTCACATGTGGTCCTCTTTTTTGGAGGCTGCGTTCATGTGTGGTTTATGCAGGCGCTTGAGCCAAACCGGTCACCAAGGCAGCCGGGAGACGAGTCGGTAGACCGGGTCGTCCAGGTTGGGTGACGAGTCGGTTTAGTCGGTCTGGAGGTCGCAAGTGTGAGAACTTCAAGAGTTCCCAGTTCAGGTCTCTTGAGGTCTCTTGATGAGAAAAGAACTTGCTCAAACGACACCATGAAGACAAACCATCCCCACATCGATCCAGTTGACATCCTTGACATGGATCAGGGTGATCATATATGGATCAAGCAAGCCCGCCGGACCTGGAGAATCAAACACCTATATATATATATATACTCGATCTATACATATCTAAAGTATCTAATATAGTACATAATTACTGTCGATGGGGGTTCATCAACAGCAAGGGCATCTCTTGGCGTTTGGCATGTGACATGTATTTCCCACAGCTCTTGGGGCCCTAAACACGCATGTCCCGAAACATGCTCGTGGCACGCTCCGCGCTTCGAACAACGCGCTTCTCATCTTCTTCGGTCTTCGGGCGGGTCTGCGAACTGTCGCACGAGGCCAGACCGGAGGGGGGTCCGGAATGCATCTGGTGCATGTCGTAAAAACGAACGAAGCAACACCAGGTAGGTCAGATCTGGTCGGACCTGGTCGGTAGCGACGTGCAACCGGACTCCAGTGACGACGAAGGTCGGTTTTACCGGCACTGACCGGTTGGTGGATCCTAGTGCAAGTTGCATCAAAGCTCGTTTGATTTGTATTCAATATCTGGTAGAATAAGGTTTGGCTCTGACTCGGGGTGTGAAGTGTCCCCTCACCTCCGAGTTAGTTACAGCCGGCTAGCCTTAGGGCCGCGCGACTGTGCGGGCGTGCATGGTCACTGCGGTTCGCTTGTTCATCTTCTACCTGATCCCGATCTTCTTACTCTGTCTGCCACCAAGATTTGAAGGTGAAGCGCCTCAAAGAACCTGGGTGGCACAGGAATCGGAGAAGAAGAAGACAAGCTGCAAGGAGAACTTTGAGAACCTGGAGTCAAGGTCTCAAGGTAAGCAACCATCGTCTGAGTGGTGCAATAGCACGTATTGTTACGCACCACGGCAGTTCATTGCCGGGACAGATATCCACAATGCCTCTCAGGTG